AATATTTGCTGTATATGTATATAAAAGTAATCAAAATTTAAATTAGAGTACAAAACAATTAAATTCGAGAGAGAGAGAGAGAGAGAATTGTTTCATTCATTCATAGAATCATTTATTCGTACATTTGTTGAATTACAAGAAGTTTGTAAATTGAGTACATATTTTTAATGCTAAAATTCAATTAACTTTTTCAAACTTACAATTTAATTATTTATACTATCATACATTCTGTATTGTAACAGTGGTGGCCAATTGTGTGATGCTATTTATGGTATAAAGTACATTTATTTTGTATTTAATATGTCAATTGTGCTATATTTAACATTTTAGTATATTATTTGTTTATTTAATTAAACACAACATATTTAAAATTTAATTCCCAAGATGTTACAATTAAGTTATGTGTATTATCAAAAACATTAAACTTTTATAAAGTACATTAAGTTTAAATGCACTGAAAGTTAATAAAATACAATAGACCAAAACCAATTATATATAATAATAACAATTGGGAAAATGGCAACAATTTGTCATACATTATATATACGTATATGTATACTTTTTTAATAGTTTATAGATGTCATAAAAATGTAAGTGAATTGTGAGAAATATATACCGATAATAATAAGGTAATAAAAGTTTTTATAATTTCTTTAAAAGTAGTATAAAAGGAGTAACTATTGAGCAAAGAGTTTGTGATTTATGCTCTAATTATCAGAAAGTGTTCAATAGTTTAGTTTTATATTGAGTTTGCGTTAACTTTACTTTCAAAATCATTTTTACTCTCAATTTGTATTTTCAATAAATTAAATGTTTGTCAAAAGACTACATCACAAAAGTTGGTATTTAGTGAAAGCCCTCTCTTTCTCTCTCGAATTTAATTGTTTTGTACTCTAATTTAAATTTTGATTACTTTTATATACATATACAGCAAATATTTGAATATATTTAGTTAATTAATTCTCTAAATAATTAGTTTATAATTAAGTCTTTCTAATGAAGTTTTATTTAGCGATGAAATCACGCAACAAATGATCTAAAAAATCATCATGTCTAAAAATAAGCGTACTTTTAAATAATAACTATATAACAATTGTAATTAATTAACAAATTGAACAAAAAATCCCTTAAATATCACCTTAAAGTTTGTTCAACCACTTAATGTTTAGAGAATTAGTTTTATTTTTATACACATAATACCAAAAGTATCTATTTTTGAATACAATTTCTTACAGAATATTCTTATGTTATATTACAGGCAATTACAGGCCATCAATACCTCAGAGGATAAGGATTTGGTATTTGAGAAATTGAGTCAAATTGATGTCAAACAGAGAGACAATAAGGCATTAGTGGGAAGAGATATCATTCAACGCCAGAAATCTGAACATCATTTGAACAGACAATCAATAGTCAGTTGTGTTGTTGTCGTCAATCGGATCGCAAATAAGTTAATGACAACCACTTCTTATCCGCTAATAAGAAAAAATCAAATACAAAATTACGTATAAAAACCGAAATCAAAATTAAATTTGGTATCAATTTTCAACGATCTCATAACGAGTCAAGTAATTACTTTTCCATTGAATACAACAAAGTTATCATAAGTTATTGAAAACTGTTGATAGAAAATAAAGTTCAAACCCTTCGCAAAACTCAATTAACGACAACAGCGACAAAATTATTGATTAATTATTACAATGAAGACAACCACAGGAGTAAGCGACACGATATCCGCATCCCTTTCCGCCGCCACAACAGTTCCCACATCTCATATGAACGCAACGGCCGGCGCTTATCACCACCAGAGCCAACAACAACAACACACCGGCAACTATAGTAAAAATGCATTTCTCAGTTCAACCACCGGTTTAGTTAAAGTGTGTCTCCTATTGATGACCATCTCATCGGCCACTAAACTCTGTGAAGGCGTCGGCACAGGCGGTAACGGCGGCGCCGGCGGTGGCTCTGCCGATGGTCTCGTGGGTACTGTCGGTGCGATCGCCAAACGGAGTCAATCGCAGCATCAGGTGAGCCATGAAATGCCATTCACTAAATATATAGCATTTATTTCTCTTTCCATTCAATATAATGTTCTACTCGTTATATATATATCGATCCCATTGTAAGTAAGTGTACCCTTAAGATGGTTACAATCAGTGGAAATGCTCGTAGAGTTGATGATCGCAACCCCATTCATATACAGTCTAAATACAGTTTATATCTATTCCCTCTGATTGTGTGCCTCTTTTATACAGTAGAGTAACTTTTGTGTTGCTTTTTTTGTTGAGTTTTTTCGTACACATCCTCTTATTTTCTCCATTTACTCATCAAAACCAATGTATTTAAGCCTCGATTACTCGCATTTTATTTTCCGTTCATTCATTTCAGTGACTATTTTTAAACCCAAAAGAGAAAAAAAAAGTTTTGTTTTCATTGAATTAAACCATCGGTTTCTCTCTCATTGTTTTATAGTAATGTTTTTGAGTTGTTTTCTTCTACACACATGGAAAATGCATTTAATGTCTTATTTAGCAAAAGTTTTACACATGTTTTCAACAAAATGAATCGTTATTTTCTGTACGCTTAATGATATTTTAAGTGACAATGTTTTTAATACTTTAGATTATTGTCAAACTATTAGTTACGACGATTTCTAATATATAATATCTCTTTGAAAATAGCAAAAATGTTATTGTATTCATGAAAAAGTTGAATTCTTTGGCGTGGGTTTCAATCATTAGTACATAAAAACTTGAGATTTTATAGGAAAAGTAATTTTAAGTAATCTTAAAAAGTAATATTCAATATAACATTAGTAACGATACCATATATTATTTTTATTACATTTAAAGATTTTTCAATAACAATATCTAAGAATTTAAGTTTATCAAGATGCACTTTATTTAATAAATGCTATTTATTCATAACAAACTCTATCTAGATTGATTTTTATCAGATAAAGTTCTAATTTATTTTAATTATATACAAACTTTTATAAGAATATTTTATTATGATATACCTATTAACATGATCTTTATTTTTATTATCTTGAACCGTATTTATAATAATTATAAAAATTATAATTAATGCCATAACTTATATTAAATTTATAAACAATTTAATACTGTGGTTTAATTTAATAAATTTTACAATCACTAAATTACATACGATATAAATTAATTTTTTAGGAACTCGTTATATAATATAAAATATTTGCCTAGTTAATTATATGCCATTTAAAGCGGTTTAACAAACGCTTAAAGCTTTTACATTTAAAAACAAAATATAATAATTCTTAAGAAATCATTTATAATTCCCGGGAAGATCTAAACATTCATTAATTTAAAATAAGTATTTAGAAAAAATATTTAAATGTTAACTTTTTAATGTATACTAAAGTATATTATATTTATAATGTGTAGAGTATTGTGTCTGGCATTAGATATGAACAAAATACATGTAAGAATCCATTAATTTAATGAATTATATTTAACGATAATATGTTTATAAAGTTTGTATCACTTAAAAGAACGTGGGATTGATTTTTGCTTTTTTGAATAACATTTTATGATTTAAAGTATAAAATACTTATTTTGAATAAATAAATGATTAAATTCTTGATATAACGCTCGGTATTTGATTAAATGGTTAGTTTAGTAAAGTATATTAATAATATATGGATTACCGTCTATGGTATAAATCTAATTCACCAAGTTTATATTTAAGTACAGTATATATTTTTAAATAAATGTTTAAAAACACATTTCCCAAAAGTAAAATCACAGAATTTCAATAGTTATAAAAATAAGTATAATTTTAATATATTGATTACAATTTTATATTCAGTATTCATAGCTTTAATTATGGTTTCAATAGTAATTATTATATTCATATTATAGGAAATTTAATTATAGAAATATTAATCAACGTTTTCCACAAAAATATACGAAATCTATTTAATACATGAATGAATGAAAATGTGAATCGAAAGCAAATGTACTTCAAATGCAAATGAGAATCAATTCTCGTATTGTATTCATTGATAATAATTTTATGATTACTTGGATTTGCATTTTTCCAGTGAATTAGTAGAAAATCATATGATTTTGAATTTCATTCATTATTTAAGTATAGAATAAGGATTTGAGTCGAGTTTTAAGTATTCTTCAAAACTTTAAATCAAAGTCTAATAATACTTTTGCTTTGAATCTTGTATAATTAAAATTTATAAAAATATATCTTATTTTAAAGCATCTCTCATCTAATACAGTAGTATCTTACCTTATATTAACTATGAGTAAATCCTAGAATTGAATACATTTGTATTAAATATCTATATTTATTACAGAGTATTTAAGCCCGAAATTTAGCTATACATTTATACATTTATATTTAAAGATGGAAATTTTTACTAAATTTAATACTTAAGTAGAATTAAAAAGTTATCTAAAAAGAAATATATAATTATGGTACTTATTAAACAAAAATAAACTAAATATTCGTGACAAATCTATAATAAATATACTTAATGGACAATTTTATAAACAATATAATTACAAAGATGTATTTTTATGATGAATTGTTTATAGGCTTTGCCGGAATGTATTGACGAGAGAAGTGTTTGCGGTTACGTTCAACTCAATCACATGGGTATTAGCTCTCAACCAATTTGTAAATGTAGAGCAGGTGTTCAGTGCCCTATGATGTGGAACCCTATGGATGGCCGCACTGTCTCCCACGGAAATGACCAGTACAAGGTGTGTATATACGCCACCCCTTCCCCTCACCCCCACAATTCCCGTGTCTATACCACCCTCTGACCGATCGGTAGCTAACATATACTCTGTGTGTTTGTGTTGACCACCAGTACTGCAATCGGGCGCCGAAACTGAATTATTGCAGTAAAGAAGAGATGGTTTACACGACTTATTTGGAGACATCGTTGTTGACGATGAAGACTCTACTAAACACTAATCACATCCACTGTCTCTGTCCGGCGCATCACCTCTTTGTAAGAAATAGCACTAAATTTCATGACTTAGAAGACGGCACAACCATTATTGGCACTTCATTCCAGTGCAAACCTGTAAGTATATACACTATTATCATGGTCAATCTAAATTGGTATTACTTAATAAGCTCTCTATTTTAGTTACAATGTAAATATTTTTGGGCATGCATGTTTACCAATATTATCTACAGTATATTTAAATTCTACACACTTATTATTAACCATCATCAACGACATTGTTTAGCAAAACATGTTTACAAATACGATATAATTAATGAAACAAATATATTCAATTTATATTCACAAATATGTTTACATTTGCAATGGATTTGTTATTTAATATTTAGGCGTTTGTGTGTATTATAATAAAACGAGTGGTGAATGCATTTAAACAATCAATTTCTAAAAGATTAGTTATAAACATGAAGTAAAATGAAACGAAATATTTTATTTAACTGTCTTTTAGTCTTTTAATATACATTTCTATGGAAATGAAGTTAATATAAATGAATTTAGCCTTAAGTTAGTAATTGAAGCGATTTATAATTTTAGTATAATTCAAAAGTTTTTCCCTTTATTTAATTATAAACTCTAATTACAGACTAAGAATTGTATCGATTTTATGCATTCTTTAGGCAACAGAATTCAGTGTTGATATGATTGCTGTAACTATAGGATAGAGTATGTCATCAATTTATTAGCAATAAAAACAATCATGATCACAAGTAAAACATCTCTTACCATAATGATTGCCAAAATATATTATTAATTGTAATCATTGTTATTGTCGATGATTTATATGATTTGTACAGAATATTCAGAATTAATATTGTATTAAACAATGCAATAATTTGTTGCATTTCTTAAGAGTTTTACTATAAAATTAATGCTTATTTTAACAAACATGACATTTATTAATCTTAACACTTGTTAAATGAGATTTTGCTAATAAAATGAAGACAATAAATAATAAGAAATTCATTACACGAAGACTAATGACTTGTGAATTATTAATAAACTACAAGACACTCATAACAAGAGCATAGAAAATGTACTTAAGAATTAGATTGTGCTTGCCTATATTTCTAATTGTTTACCTATAATACTAATGATAGATATTATTTATAGATATCGATAAATTAGTAAATTTTGATTAAAATTCATAGCATTCACAACACTATTACAGTATATATTTACTAATTATAGTCAAATACTTTAATTGCCAATAAAATACGTTAATACCCAAAATAATCAGTCAATTAAATCCTTTATTTTTGCTTAAATCTATTAATTGGTAATCATTTAATCAATTTCTATATCAAAACTAAAACAGAATTAATGCAAAATAAATTCAAATTAATGCTAGGAATAGAGTTGTATAATAAAAATAATACATTTCTACATATTTTTTGTGCTAATTTTATCCTAATTAAGATAGGGATTGAAATTCAATCCTAATTAAATACAATAGTGACAAAATCAATACAATCTATTATAAGAGACTGATATAAATAGATTTGGTTGTGTAATATGTTTGAGATCCTTAATGAGGATTAACATATTATACATGTATACAGTATACAGCAGACATTAGGTTATTTATATATTTATAGACATATACAATATTTCACTACAAAAGAATGTACTTATTTCAATAATTAATGCCCACTTATTGTCCAATTATTTGCATGACTTAGAATAGTACAGTCGTTATTACAATTACTACTGTAAACATGTATTAGAAATATATAAATCTTTATATAAACAATATTT